TGAGGGCAAGAGAAGAGGGTGACAGAGGATGAGATGGTTGGATGATATCACCAACTCAATGCACATGAGTTTGAGCAAACTCCGGGAGATAGTGAAGGATAGGGAAGCCTGGAGTGCCGTGGTTCACGGGGTGGGAAAGAGTCAGACATGACTTAGTGACCAAACAACAATAACAGTGGGGGCCTCCCCCAGCTGCCTGAAGCCCCCAAGGCAGGAGGAACCCAGCGCAGGTAACAGAGCATGAAGGACTTAGTTACTGGGGGCAATGTGTGGATTTGAGGCAGTGGAAACCACTGATGGAACTCTCCAACACTGGAGGGGGCACCCTGGACTGGATGTGCCTGGGAGAGGCGGGTTTTAAAAGCTACAGAGGATTTTAATGGTTCACATGAGGTGGTGGCTGTGGAGACTGCAGCCATGAGACTCATTGGTGATTATTCTTTAGATGCAGTGATAAAATTCAAATGACTGTAGACTTCCCTGGCGGCAGAGTGGATAGGAATCGCCTGCCATTGCAGGGGACACAGGTTCGATCCCTGGCCTGGGAAGATTCCACATGTCACAGAGCAACTAAGTGTATGCGTCACAATTACTGAGCCTGCACTCGAGCGCCCATGTGCTTACAGCGCATGCTCTGCAACAAGAGAAGCCATGGCAATAAGAAGCCCAGGCACTGCAACAAAGAGTAACCCCACTCACAGGGGCTAGAGAAAGTCCAAACAAAGCCAGGAAGACCCAGTGCAGCCAAAAATAAAAGAAGTTAAAATAAATTAATTTTTAAAAATTCAAATAATTGTGGCCAGAGAGATGCAGCCAATGTAGTTGAGGTGAAGCTCCACCCCCAGCCTGCTAAGTGACAGGTCTGACTCCTCGCTGAGCCTTGCTTTCCTCCTCCTCTAAAAAAGTGTAGGCAGCACAGGCTAATTTTTGAGGTCCAGTGCATAATGCAAATGTGCGGCCCCTTGATCAATAATTACTAAGAATTTTAAGATGGTGGTAGCAGAACATTAAGCCAAGTGTTGGGCCCTTCTAAGAGCAGGGCCCCCAGTTCAGGGGGCCTTCCAAGGGACATGGGCTTGGTGGCTTCAGAGAGGAAAAACTGGCACTGAGGATGGGAAGACGTTCCTCACGCCAGAATCAGGGGCTGGAGCAGCTGAGCAGAGTCTGCAGGCTGAAGCCAGCTCCCCCTGGCCAGGCCCCCTCCCAGGTGAGCAAGAGCACTCGCCCCAGCTTATTAGCACACCCTTGAGCATAATGGTAGTAATAAAGATACATATAACAATAATTATTATTACTTTAAAAGGATCGGGCTCAGGAGAGTTGGAAGAATGTATAACAACTCAGGAGAAGTAAAATGGCTTGCCCAGAGTCACACTGGAAGCAAATTGGAAAACTGAGCCTCCTACCCTTGGGCCTGTCTCCAGAGCCACGGATGGGGTGTGAGCAAAGAAGCCGAGGCTGACCTACAGATAGGCAGAGGCTCATTGGGATGAATCCTGAGGCTCCTTTCTTAAATTCTGTGAGTAGGAGACTACAACCTTCTAGCTAATTTTGTAGTGTGACCAGGCCAGGCAGCAGGAGGGCTGGAGGTGGGAAGCTAGTACTGCTATGGGATGGGAAGTCAGGGAGGGCTTCCTGGAGGAGCTGACCTGGAGTGTTGTGGGAGGTAACCCAAGTGGCAAGAACAATGAGGGTCAAGGTCCTGCGGTGGAAATGAACTTGTCAGATTCAAGGGACAGAAGAGAGGCAGAGTGAGTGAGGCTGAGAAACTTGGTCAGACACACTTCAGGGTGTCACACTGATGGAGATGCAGGCTTAGGGCAAAGTGACATGCCTCACGACCCCAGCGAGCGGAGCCACATTCAAGCCCACGCTTGTCTGCGGCTGACACTGTAGGCTGAAGGACCAGGTAGGAAAAACGAGCTCCCGGTGGGGCCATATGAAGAGCAGGCAGGCCCAGGGGCTCCTCTGGTGGCACAGTGGGTAAGAGTCCGCCTGCCAATGCAGGGGACACAGGTTTGATTCCTGGTCTGGGAAGATTCCACGTACTTCGGAGCAACTAAGCCCCTGCATCACAACTACTGAGCCTGCAAGCTCAGGGGCCCACGAGCACAACTACTGAGCCTGCGAGCTGTAATTGCTGAAGCCCACACACCTCGAGCCTGCTCTGCAACAAAAGAACCCACCAGAATGAGAAGCAGTGCTCCGCAGCAGAGTCTCCCCCACGCGCCACAACTGGAGGAAGCCTGCCTGCAGTAACGCGGCTCATTCCCCCGTCTTCAGCTCGCGACAGCTCTGCTGCCCCCATGGGAGGGCTGAGGAAGATCATCCATCCTCCTCTTTTTTTCCTCTGTTCTGAAGATTTGGCCCCTGGCCTCCATGTGGAGGCTTCCTGGGATTCCCTAGTGGCTCAGATGATAAAGAATCTGCTTGCAAGGAGGGAGACCCGGATTCAATCCCTTGCAAAGATCCCCTGGAGGCATGGCCACCCACTCCAGTATTCTTGCCTGGAGAATCTCCATGGACAGAGGAGCCTAGCGGGCTACAGTCCATGGGGTCGCAAAGAGTCAGACATGACTGAGCGGCTTTCACTCCATTATCTTTCTGCCTGGTGGGTCACCGGAGTGACAATCAGGACTCCACAGGCAAAGGGCAGTCCGGGAACCTGAGGGCTGGAGCAGCAGCTGCTCCGAGTCGGGGAGGGGATGTGGCAGAGCTACTATGGGACTGAGGAGCGGAGGGTGCTCAGTTTATGAGGGTGCCTCTTGCTTCTCCCAACCTCCGCCCCCAGGAGAGGAGGTGCAAGGTCCCAGGATTTGCCCACCAGCCCCAGAAGGAGCAAAAGCCCCAGAGGGGGCTTTTTGGAGGTGAAGCTGTGAGCCCAGGGTATCTGTGCCAGACACTCCCTCTTTCTCAGATCCATCTGCTTCTCTCCACCTTCCTGCCTCTGCCCTCCAGTCCTCCGTCACGGCTCATCTGGCTGCTACTGCAATCCTGTCCCCTCAAACTCCACACGAGCCATGGGTCTTTGAAAACCTGAACGCCAGATTTCCCAAACCTCCCCAGCATTAAGAGAACATTTATTCGAATTCCTCACCAGACTTACATGCTCCCCAGTATGTCTCCCACTCTGGTCTCCTCTCCCCGTGTCCCACTCCTACCCAACACATAGCACCTCATCACTCCCCAGTTGGCATTCCGTCCCCCACACCAGGTGAAGTCACAGCTCCAGCTTCTGGAACATTTTCCTCCCCCTGCCTCGCATGTGCTGGGTCTCTAGCCGGATACCAGCCAAGTGGCGCAGAGGACCTGCCTTTAAGAGGGGCTGAGTGGACAGCGGGCAGGTGGCAGCACAAGGGCTGTGGGGTCTGGTTTAGACAGAGCTCTACAGCCTGGCTTGGGTCCCACGTCGCACACACTCAGAGGACACAGGATGACGACTCAGGATCAGGTGGAGGACACAACCACGGCTGCCAGCTCCAGACCCCAAATGCATCAGCCCACTGGCAAGTGGCCCATGTATTCAAAAATCGTTTTAATCCGAGCTCAGCCAGCCGCTTCCCTCCCCAGTCTTCAGTTTTATTCTCTGAACAAGGGGTTTAGTAGCAGGAGGGACTACCATGGAGGGGGTGCGCATTTGAGGAGCTGAAAGCCTGCGGCTCTTCCCAGATGGGGAACAAGGGGCACGGCTCCAGGGTCCCTGGGAAAGATGGAAAGAGGAGGTGGGCCTGCTTAGACTGTGTGTGTTTGGCGGGGGTGGGTCGGGGGGAGCAACCAGCGGTGCTAATGAATAATTCATGAGGGGCAGGCCTGCTGCTGATACCGTTTCCCTGGCAACGCAGCTTTGGAGGTGTTGGCAGCCGCAGGCTTAGTCCCTCCAAAGGGATGGGCCTGGCATTCTCCCCGCCCTCTATCCCGGCCATGCCTCTGCCTCCCATCTAAGCCCCTGGTCCCCCAGGCCTTCTTCCAGCCGTGCCCCTGCTTCCCTCTGGTCCCTCTCCCTGGCTGACCTGAGGAAACACCGCTCTTCGGGCGCCTCCGCTAGGTCCGGGCCATCCGTGCTGCTCATGGCGCAGGTGATCTGTGTGCTCGCCGGCAGCCACCACCGCCACAGCCTTTTAAACGCATCCATCCCTGGGCGGAGGGGGTGTCCTCTCTCCTCCCGCCCACTCTGTGTGTCCGCCAATCAGGAGACGCCGCGAAGGCGCTGCGCATGGCCATTGGTTGTTAAGTGCAAGTGGACTTAACCCCTTCGTGCCAGGAGTGGAGCTGCCCGTGGAATGGCGGGAACCCCAAAGTTCCAGACACTGGCAGGGAAACAAAGTCTGGAAGGACAGCGATGGGCTCGTTAACCCCGCTACGGCGTCCTGGCCTGGGTGCAAGTGGACCCGCCTCTGCTGCGCCCCTCTCCAGCCCGATACGCTCCGATACGGGCGACCCATCCACCCAACCGGTACCCCAGTGGAGAAGACCCCCAGTCTGAAGAGGCTGGCTGCTGACAAGCAGGGTTTCAGCAAAGGCAGGAAAAAGTCCAGGCACATTTGGCAGCCGACGCTGCAGGGCGATCCAGGGCCCATCCCATTGGCATCTTCTGCTTAGTCCCCACGCCTCCTCTGACACCCCCCACCCCCAATCACTCAGTCCCTGGGACACAAGCAGGCCAGTCTCCAGAGCGTTTATTCTCTCCTAGGGGGGAGAGGGCGCGGGTCCAGCAGTCTCTGGGGCGCAGACCCCTACGTGTACCATATGAACCCATAGGTGGCGTTGAGAATCTCCTCGCGCGTGCGCAGCCCGTAGAGCTCGCCCATCATGGGAGTCACCCAGCGCGTGGTGTGGAACACGGACTCACCCACCTGTGGGGATGGAGGGGTAAGGGTGGGTCCCAGGAGCCTGCTGGGACCCCACCAGGCTTGGCAGCCCCCGTGCCTCTACCCGGAACGGCCGCCCCATGCTGGCACCTGGCACCCACTCCCGCAAAGCCCCAGGTTTTCTGTGGGAGGCTGAGGACCCACCTTCCAGCCCGGCACGTCCTTCATGATAGTTGCCTCCTCCTCCAAGTTCTCCCGAAGCATCTGGAGAACCCTGCAGGGAGACAAGGTGGGAGGTGGGGGACAGGGCCGATCCCTACCAGGGCCTCTGCCTAACAAACCTGCCAGACCTGCCCCTCCTCCAGCTCCCCATCACCTTCCAGGGCTTTCAGCCCCGCACACACGCTGATCTCCCCGCTTTACTTCCTTCCCCCTGACAAACTCTCGCAGCCCTCCCAGCCAACGTCCCCTCGTCCAGAAACATTCATTCTCCCTCTTGGGGCTCTTCTGCAAGTCAAGTATGGGGTCCTCTCCAAGGACGACGGCAACCCCTGGAGCTGCCGTCAACAAGGTCATGGCTGTTGATCCCCACGTGCATTCTGGCCTTGTCCCACAGTGCAGGCTGGGGCACTCTGACCTGTGACCTCTTGACCCCAGTGCCCTACCTCCGGTCCTTCTCTGCCTGCAACAGAGGCATCAGCGCGATGCGGGCCTCGAAGTCCTCGATCTGGAGACGCCTGTGAAACCCCAAAACTGACAGATCAGTCCCCGGTGGGATGGTGGCAGATGATGTGGCCCTTGGACGGGCATTACCCTGGCATGGGGCTTGGGGGAGAGGCAGAGGCAAGCAAGGGGGAAAGTGGGCTCAGCCACCAGTAGCCTGCGATGGGCGCGGGGGATGTGGGGAAACACAGCTGGCAGGGGCGGCATCAGTCCACAAGACTGCTGGCTTCACACTTTCTTTTCAGCTCAAAACTTTTTTTTTTTAATCCTAAAAATAGCCCAGGCCTGATGATTGCAGTGAACTGGGGGGAACATTCATCATGAGGTTCTGGGCCTTACAAAACCACATCCTTTTCATCTCAAAATAACTGTGTGGGGGGGTTGGCGAGTGGGGGGGTTGGCGAGTATCATGAGCAGCTTCTTTCTTCTCCCTGCTTTTCGGCGTCTCTAACTCGCCAGCCCTGTCTGCTGGGGGGAGTGGGGAGAGCGGTCCCAGTGACGCAGCCCAGGGGGTGGCCCCTGACCCTGTCCCTCCATCACCATGAATCTCACAGCAACACAGGGAAGGGTCCCAGGGAACTTCCGCCTCCACCTCAACCCCCCAGGACCCAGGGACCGGGGCTGCTGTCCTCAGCAGTCACATACCATGGCTACCGCGGTGCCCCCCGGGAGACTGGGCCTGGTCTCGCCTGTTCAGGGTGGGGTCCAGCACCCACCAGGTGCCCTGAATTCACTGAACAAAGTGGAGTGCCCTCCGCGTGCTGGACCTTCTCCAACACTGCCCTTGTAGGGGGGTGAGCAGGGTCCAGGTGGATGCTGAGGACACAGAGCGGGGGAGGGTGGCGGAGACCGCTGGTTGGGAGCCAGTGAGGAGGAGCCATCTGACAGAGTACTGGGCAAACTCGGAGGTGGCCAGGGTCCAAACCAAGGCCACAGCAGACTGGGACCCTCAGGCCGGTGTGGCTGGCCCGGCCATTGTCTTGTACGATCTGCCTTTGAAGTCCTGGTATCACCATTGCCCGGGCACCACTGACAAACACCCCCTGAGGGACAGGGCCTGTCCCCCTGCCTCCGTCTCTGTCTATGCAAACTGGACCTTGGGGTACCTGGGGGTGGAGCTCAAGGGTACCTAGTGAACACCCAGAGGCAAGCTTCTTACTTACTAGTCAGTCATTCCTTGAAGTAAAGCCCAGAAATGGACTCGCCAGCTCAGGCCCTGAGCTCCCTGAGGTACTGACAGGGGCCTGGAGGAGCCCCGGGTCCACGGCCCAAGTCCCCACCCGCCTCTCCAGTGCGGGGCCTACCTGCGTTCGCGGTTCCACCTCATCATGCTCCAGTACCCGAAGAGCAAGGCCCCAATGCCCACGGCGAACATGCTGTAGCCTGCAGGGTGAAGATACCGCTCAGCACCTGCCCGAGGGACAGGCCACCTTGACCCGTCTTCTCCTAACCCACAACCCACCCACGGCAAGCACTCCAGAAACAGGAAAGAGGGAGAGAAGGCGAAAGCCCCCACGGAGCCCCACCCAGCCAGCCAGGGCTGTTTCTAACGCCTGTCCTTAGACTACTTGTCTGTCGGTGGGGCGTCCACCCGCCCCTCCCATTGACGCCCCCTCCCCTGGAACTGCAGACCACGCTTCATCCCAATCACCCGCTCTGCGGGCAGGGCACACCACGCTGCTGCGGCTGCCGCAGCCCAGCCCCATGCCAGGGTTCTCAGAAGGCGCAGCTGGGCAGAGACCATGGGAGAGCCTGGCAGTCTAAATGGCTACAGCTGTGTGGCCTCGGCCCGCCAATTGACCAGAAGGTCGTTTGAGTTCCTTCACCCAGCTGGTCCCCGTGGCGAAGCGTGGTGTCCACGCTGGGTCCTGGCCCCACCGAGGGCCCGGCAGCCCGGGGCACCTCCCCAGGGGCTGCCCAGAAGAGGCTGGATGGGGCTGCCGGGGGCAGGCAGCGCCCTGCAGGGGCCACCCGGCCACCCCCTGGGCTCCCAGAGTACTACTGCCTCCCAGCCTCATGGGATTGAGCCCCTTCCTGGGACCCCAGGAGACAGAGGCTGAAATGAATATTTACTGAGCCCCTGGGGCACCTGGCTGTAATTCTGACTGACAGGCTGTGGGCCTGCTGGGGTCTTTGGCTACAGCTGTGTGGCCTCGGCCCGCCAATTGACCAGAAGGTCGTTTGAGTTCCTTCAGCCAGCTGGTCCCCGTGGCGAAGCGTGGTGTCCACGCTGGGTCCTGGCCCCACCGAGGGCCCGGCAGCCCGGGGCACCTCCCCGGGGGCTGCCCAGAAGAGGCTGGATGGGGCTGCCGGGGGCAGGCAGCGCCCTGCAGGGGCCACCCGGCCACCCCCTGGGCTCCCAGGGTACTACTGCCTCCCAGCCTCATGGGATTGAGCCCCTTCCTGCGACCCCAGGAGACAGAGGCTGAAATGAATATTTACTGAGCCCCTGGGGCACCTGGCTGTAATTCTGACTGACAGGCTGTGGGCCTGCTGGGGTCTTCAGGGAGGTCTGGATGCCTGGGGCCTGGCTGGGGCTGGCTCGTCCCACACCCCCTTCTCTTTCTAGCCTTGGTCTCTCCTCGGAATGGAACTCGTGGCTGTTGGGATGAGCTCACCAGCTCAGCCAGACTGAGCCCCATGTAACACCTAGTAAAGGGCCAGCAAATGGTGGGGAAAGCCACTCCCTGGGCCTGGCGGGGGACGAAGTGTGGGCTCTTTCTCCTTTAGTTTGGTTTAACACAAGACTCATCTGGCACCTCTGTTGGGCCCAGAGATAAATGAGAAACTGGCTCAATTTTTTACTCCTTTTAGTTCAACCTGTTAAAACACAAGCTGAAGACAAGACATTGCCAAGTTATGGAGGACAAGGTAGTGGGAGCACGCTGGCTCCTGTGCTGAGAGGCCCGAGTGCCCAGGACCAGCCCTCAGTGTGCCCGCGCTGGGCACGCCACGCTCCGCTGGGTGATACGCGCTTCACCAAAGCTGCCCATTCTCTGCAGAGAGGCTCAGGGGTTTCTCCTTCTACCCCAGCCCCAGAGAACAGACCTAGGCTGTCCTTGTAAGGGCCTCTTACCCCCAACACTGGGCGCTCATGAGTGGGTCCATCTGGAAGATAAATTCCAAGACTAAGGTAAGGTGCTAGAGGAGGATATGGCAACCCACTCCGGTGTTCTTGCCTGGAGAATCCCATGGACAGAGGAGCCTGGCGGGCTACTGTCTGTGTGGTCACAGAGTCAGACACGAGGGGGGGGGCTAGACAAAGTGAGGTGACCTTCCCTCTAACTCATCTAGTCCTCACTGACAGTGGTGAGGCTGACGCCCCGGGCCCTCAGGGGGATGTCTGCACCTCCTCTGGTGGGAGGGGCACATCCAGAAAAGGGAGCAGGCCAGGTGTAAAGACGACCTGAATAAACAGAAATGCATCCTGTGTTCATGGGTCAGAACACAACATTGTTCAGATGGCAGCAGTCTCCAAACTGAGGTTCAGATTCAACCTAGTTCCGATCAGAATCCCTTCCTCCCCCCACAGTCCCACAGAAATCGACAAGCAGCTTGGAAAATGCATGTGGAAATGCAAGGGCCCAGAACAGCTGAGATAGTTCTGGAAAAGAACAAAGTTGGAGGACTCTTCAAACTTATCACGCAGCTGTGTGTACAAGACAGTGTGCACTGGCATAAAGACAGACGTGTATGTCGGTGGAACAGAGCTGAGAGGCCAGAAATAAACCCTCACATTTATGGTCAATTGATTGTGGACAAGGGTGCCAAGATAATTCAATGGGGAAAGAACAGTCTTTTCAGCAAATTGGACAACTGGGTAGCCACATGCAAAAGAATAAAGTGTGCATCTCCCTCCCTCCATACACAAAAATTAACTCAAAATGGATCAAAGACCTCAATGTAAGAGCTAAAACTATAAACCTCTTAGAAAACAGCGAAGTCATTCTGTGACCTAGGATAAGGCAACGATTTCTTAGATTAGACACTGGCCACACAAGCGACAAGAGAAAAAATAGATGAATTGGACACTGCTGAAAGTGACACTATCAACAAGCTGACAAGACAAGGATGGAAGTATTTGGAAATCATGTGTCTGATAAGGGAATGGTATCCAAAATATATAAAAAACTCTTTAAAATTCAATAATAAAAAGACTAACCACCTAATTTTAAAATGTGTCAAGTGTCTGTATAGATATTTCTTCAAGGAAGCTACACAAATAGCCAGCAAACACATGAAAAGGTGCTCGACATCATTAGTAACTAGGGAAATGCAAATCAAAACCACAGTAGATACCACCTCACACCCACTAGGATGACTAAAAATTTTTTTTAATCGAGAACAATTAGTGTTGTCCAGATGCAGAGAAATGGGAATGCCCATACACTGTAGGTGGGAATGTAATTTGGTATAGCCAATTTGGAAAACAGTTTGGCAGTTCCTCAAAATGTTAAATGTGGAGTTACCATGTGACCCAGCAACCCCACTTCACCCAAGAGAAAGGAAACATATGTTCACACAGAAACCCATACAAGCATGTTCAGAGCAGCACTGTTCATAACAGTCAAAAGATGGAGACAATTCAAACGTCCATCCAGTAGTAAATGGACACACAAGACCTCCCGCCATACAAGGTTACTCAGCCACAATAAAGAAGGAAGCACTGACGCATACTACAAGGTATACATTAAAAACGTGCTGACAGCACTTCCCTGGTTGTCCAGTGGTTAAGACTCTGCCTGCCAACGCAGGAGACACGGATTCCATCCCTGATCCGGGAAGACTCCACATGCCGTGGAGCAACTGAGCCCTGCACGACTACTGAGTGTGTGCTCTGGAGCCCAGCAGCCACAACTACCGAGCACATGCGCTGCGACTGCGGAGCCCATGCACCCTAGAGTCCACGCTCCGCAACGAGAGACAACATCGCAATGAGAAGCCTCCGCACCAGCACGAGAGTAGCCCCCACTCGCCGCAGAGGAGAGAAAAGCCCACACCGCAGTGGAATCCCAGCACAGCCAAAAATAAACAAACAACAACAAAAAACATGCTGCGAAAAGTGAGACATAAAGAGACATCATTAACTATGCCATTTATATGAGAGGCAAATCCCTATCCCTAGAGGCAGGAAGCAGACCTGTGGTTGTCAGGGGCTGGGGGAGGATGTGGAGCAACTGCTCCACAGCACAGCATTTCTTCTGGGGTGATGAAAATGTAAAGTTAGATTGTTCCAATGGCTGCACAACTGGGAACAGACGAAAAATCAGTCTGCTCACATGAAATGGGTGATTATATGGTATGGCATGTGAATCTCAATTAAAACGTTAAAGATACCAGAAAAAAAGGGCCATTCACTGGGTGCAGGAGGGTGAGGAGAGCGGCGTGTGAGAGACCAGGGGAAGGTGGGGGCAACAGTCACTTCAGTAGCTGTGTGGATCACGGGTGGCACGTTGTAGCATGCTGGCGGTGAGTGGTCCAGGCAGAGAAAAGGGGAGGGGGTGCCAAGCTTGGGGTCACGGTGCCTGGACAAGAGCAAGACCGATGGAGAGAAAGCAGCTGTGGATAAGGCTGGAGGACAGAAATGAGGGCAGGGTGCAGGATGAGAGTGAACAGCCGCTGTTCCCTCTATCTGGGCAACTCTTTTTCAGAGAGGTCCTCGCGCCCATTGTGGCTCACTAAGGCGCCAATCATCCTGGGCCACAATGGGAAATCACAAGCAACGCGTCTGTCTCCTCAGCTGTGTGAGCTCCTCAGGACAGAGCCCAGCACTAAGGACGCGCTCAGCAGTCACTAAATGCAGGTACATGGACAGAGACCACACCTCAGAAAGGGTTATATTCCTCACCCCTCTGTAGCCAGGAGAGACTGAGGTGGTCTGGATGTGCAACAGGGGAAGCGGGTGTAAAGGCTGAGAGTAGGAGACCCAAGCGCAGGCAGAGGCATGTAAGGCACATAGCAAGCACTGCTGAGAGGAGCAGGATACAGGCCACATGTGGGCCTGCAAAATAAGAGAGATGCTGGTTACGGGAAGCCCAGGGAGACTCAAGGGCTGCGGTTCTTGTGCGGCCTGGTCTGGACACAGGCCACAGAAGTACATGTGTATAAACAGAACTTGTGCCACGCACCCGAAGAGCGTTCTAGCCTGGGTGCTAAGTTAAGGTTTTGAGAAAAGACGAGACAGATCGCATTATATTCATTGAACCTAGGAGTGAGTCTAGAGTTCAGTGCCCAGTGCTCTGAATCTAACCTGTAACTGTTTTTGTATGGTCCTCAGGCTAAGCACACTTTTAGGTTGGTAAAGTTAATACTTACCTTGCTCTTTACAGAAAAAGTTTGCCAACCTTTGTTCCAAATTACAAAAAAGCCAGTAGAGAGCAAGGGAATACTTGAGTTTTTAATCTAACATTAACTTTTCTCTGTCTTAATTATAACATTTAAAAAAATCATGCCCATGAATTTTTTTCTGCTTTTTAATTGAGGCATAATTTGCAAAACATGCACATGTTTTAAATGTAAAGCTCAATGAGTTTCAGCAAAATATTCATTCTTAACTTGGTTGACATTCTGTTAATCTTGACTGCAGTGTATGGCTGTTTTTTACTTTCTCTTACATGTTTTTGTGTTGACCCCAATAAAAAAATTTTAAAACGTTATTTAGAGCCCTTGACAAATTGAAGAATCCATATTTCTGGGATATCCTGCAGGTGGGGGCCACCAGCGAGGCACCACTGCGCAGAACTTTTTTCCCGCCCCCCTACCCCTCCAAAAAAATCTTTCAAATTCCCTGGGTAATCCAGGTTCGGCCCCAGCTTTACTCTGGGTGGCCCTGCGGGGAGTCGCATCCTCTCTCCGGTCTCAGTCTCCCTACTTGTGAAACGGGAATGTGCGGGAAGGCTCCAGGCGGGGGCTACACTAATTTCAGTTTGTGCTTAGTCGCTCAGTCATGTCCAACCCTTTGTGACCGTAGGGACTGTAGCCCGCCAGGCTCCTCTGTCCGTGGGATTTTTCAGGCAAGAATACTGGAGTGGGTTGCCATGCCCTCCTCCAGGGAATCTTCCTGAACCAGGGATCGAACCTGCACCTCCTCTGTCTCGTGAATTGCAGGCGGATTCTTTACCCGCTCAACCACCGGGGAAGCCCTCTCTCGGTTTAATCAATGAATTGTAAAATATAAATAATTAACGGGACCGACCTCCTGGGCTGTTACGAGAAGGAAGCAAAGGGCTTAGTAAACGGTCGACAAACTGCAGCAGTTTTCATTATTGTTAGTACTGAAGCTTTGGGGGATCCCAAGGCTCCGCCTCCTGTCACACCGCGGGGAAACCTTGGCCCGCTAGACTCCCTGGCGTCCCGACCCCCCCGCGGCGCCTAGAACGCCCAGACCCTGACACCCCGGCGCAGAGCGACACTGACCCGACAGTCCCCGACGCGGAAGGTTCCGCTTGTAGTCGATAGGGCCATAGCCCCCCACCGGGGGCATGTCCTGCTTCACCTTCGACGCCGCCATGCTTGCAGGACCTTGCACTTCCGGTCTCAGGAGGAAGTTACGCAACGGCGATCGACACCATGCTGAGTGTGGCGGAAGCTGCAGCGCAGGTCTCGGGCCCGACTGGGAAACCTAGGGTGCCGCTGCACCTACCCCAGTTCGTGCGGGAGCGCCGTGGCGGGGCCTGGGATCAACTGCGCGCCCAAGCTGCGACCAAAAAGTCCTTCTTTTCTCTTCTCCTAGACGGAGGCATGGCTCGGTCGGTGCTGAAGCCTGCAGCCCGTCTGGTCGCCAGAGTGGACCTTCCCACTCGCCTTCCCTCTGGGGCAATGTGAGGCCAGTTAGAAACCCCAGGCTCCCGAGGGAGCCAGGTATCATCCCATTTTCCTCCATTGGGGCCCCCTGCGGGCAGCCCAGGGCTCTGCAGGGTTAGGACTGGATTACACGAAGTTCGGGGACGGCTGCTGCTCAGATTCCGACTCCTGAGGAGCCGCCCCAACCCCAGGCTCGGATTCCACTCCCGTGACGGTCGAGACGCCTTGCTAGTGTCCTCTCATCGGGAACTGGATCATTCAGAGCGATTATGAGTCACAAAGCCGTAGGGCCGAGGGGAGAGCACCACGGGGTGGGGAGGGGGGGTCAGGCCCCCCACCCCCACCCCGAGGCAGGGTGACGCCCGCGGTCACTTCACAAGGCAGAAATTGTTACCTGGGCAATAAAAGGCACCGCAGAGGCGGGGGCCGGGGAGTGGGCACATGGGGGTGCGGGTGTGCAGGTGCCAAGCGCCATGGGTTAGGCCCGAGATCGGAGTCCGGCCGCCCCCCGACAGCAGCCGCCTCCTGCTCCCCACGCGCCCCAGGCGCCACCATGTCGGGCGACAAGCTTCTGAGCGAACTCGGCTATAAGCTGGGCCGCACGATAGGAGAGGGCAGTTACTCCAAGGTAAAGGTGGCTACGTCCAAGAAATACAAGGGCACAGTGGCCATCAAGGTGGTGGACCGGCGGCGCGCACCGCCCGACTTTGTTAACAAGTTCCTGCCACGCGAACTGTCCATCCTAAGGGGCGTGCGGCACCCACACATTGTGCATGTCTTCGAATTTATCGAGGTGTGCAACGGGAAGTTGTACATCGTGATGGAGGCGGCCGCCACCGATCTACTGCAGGCAGTGCAGCGAAACGGGCGCATCCCCGGGGGGCAGGCTCGCGACCTCTTCGCGCAGATCGCGGGTGCTGTGCGCTACCTACACGACCACCACCTGGTGCACCGCGACCTCAAGTGCGAAAACGTGCTGCTGAGCCCTGATGAGCGTCGCGTCAAGCTCACCGACTTCGGTTTCGGCCGTCAGGCTCACGGATACCCCGATCTGAGCACCACCTACTGCGGCTCTGCCGCCTACGCGTCTCCCGAGGTACTGTTGGGCATCCCCTACGACCCCAAGAAGTACGACGTGTGGAGTCTGGGCGTCGTGCTCTACGTCATGGTCACCGGCTGTATGCCCTTCGACGACTCGGACATCGCCGGCCTGCCCCGACGCCAGAAGCGCGGCGTTCTCTACCCCGACGGCCTCGAGCTGTCCGAGCGCTGCAAAGCACTGATTGCCGAGTTGCTGCAGTTCAGTCCGTCAGCCAGGCCCTCCGCGGGCCAAGTAGCGCGCAATGGCTGGCTGCGTGCGGGGGACTCCGGCTAGAAGCCGGAGTTCCCACCGTTCCCGCCGCCCCGAGCATTGCGCAAGAGCAGGGCACGCGCAAGAAGCGCGCTTCCGTAGTTCTGCGAAGCCGCCGCGCACCGCTGTGCACGCGCCCTTCCCCCTTCCCTACTTCTTCGACGCCGGGGGCCGCAGTCGCCCCTGTTTGGAATTCAACTACAACACGATCCCAAGAGCAGGAGGGCGCATGCGCTCCCTCGGTTCCCAGCGAGAAGGCCCCAGGAGGGGGCCAGATGAGAGGAGACAGAAACGTTGCGCCGGTGCAGGGTGAGCGACCGCTACGCGGTGGGCGGTGGTTGCTTGGAGAAGCTGCTGGCGAGTGGACGCGCGCAGAGGACGTCCATCCACAGCCAGCCTCGCGTACCGGTGAGGGAAGGCGCGCTCCAGGCGCTGCCCTCCTTGGAACTTGCAATAAACTCGCTCTTTCTCACACTTAGCTCTAGCAATGGCCCCCTTTTATGGAGCAGTGGGGAGGGGATCACTCCCCGGGGAAAGGCAGGCACGGGCACCCCATTTGAGAGAAACTTGTGGAGGTTCCTGCTCCAGGTCTGAAAAGGGAGTTAGGAGGATTCGAACAGAGACCTTTCGGGCTCCCCATCCTGGGCAGACTTGAAGGGGCCTTGGCGTCATCCTCAGCAACGTAATGGCCCTGGGAAAGGAGGTGCTGGATTGGAGAGCAAGACCCCAGCACCTTTCTGGTGTTTAAGGATGGGACAGCAAGGGGCCGGGGGGGCACCTGTCCAGACAGAAAGTGTTTACAAAAGAGGAAATTGAGGCCCACACTTGCCCAAGAACAGTCAGGATTGGCACCCCGATATGTCTGAAGTGGGGTGGGGAGGTGCTGGAAGCTCTCCTTGGTGAAGGAGGGGTTAGGCCCCTTCCTTGGTGAGGCAATGGAGTCTGCCAGGTTCATTCTTTTTTAATTGTAGAACAGTTACTTGACAATAGTACGATGGTTTTCACGCCATTCACTAACACGAATCGACCATAGGTGTACACATGTCCCCTCCCTCCTGCAGCCCCTGTCCCACTCGTGGTTCCACTTACGCTGTGTTCACTCAGGCATTTTTTGAGCAGCTGCTGTGTGCAAGGCACTGGGACACAGCCAAGTGGCTTGGATCCATCCGTGCTCCCAGCAAGAGAGCAAGTGGAAAGTAAAAGAATGGCGTGAAGATAAAATAATTGTAAAGTTGTGCTAAATGCCAGGTGGGGGTGAGCAAAGAGGAACTGAAGGGAAGGAATCAAACACTGGGAACAACAGGAGTGTTCCCAAGAGAGGATGGAGCCGGTGTGTTTGAGTAATGCTAGAACTGCTGTAGCTGGAATGGAGAGGGAAAGGAGGCAGAGAGGTATAAGGGGTGTGTCTGGAGAGGGACCCCACAGGGTCTGGGGAAGGCTGGGGGTTGTTTTGCTTGTGATGAGGTTACTGAGTTTAGTGACAGTGGCTGTTGTCATTCGGGTGTACGAGAAACAGCTCCCTAGGTGCTTACCCTGTCTGCCTCCCCCAGAGCCCAAGTCCCTGACGAGAGTGGTCAGTTTCTGGGTCTGACCGTACCCCACCCCTGCTCCCTCACCCTCCGTGGCTCTCAGGTGCCTTGGGGATGTGCCAGCTCTCCCTCCACTCCCTTCAAATAGGGTGTGGTCCCAACCGTCTCATTTTAAAGAGCAAGAAACAGGGTGAGAAGAGGGAAATGTCTTGCTCACTCAGAATGAAACCCACATCCTTTGCCCTTGCCCCCAAGGTCCAGTCACACTGCTCTCCTCTGTCCTCAACCTGCGTTGCGTGGTCTCACCTCTGAGCATTTGCACAGGCTGACACCACTCCCAGTGCTTTTCCCGTCTCCTCATGCAAGACTTGGCCTGAAAAACGTCACCTCTCAAGAGGCCCCGTTCTTTCCCTCCTCACAAGGTGTGATCCCAATGATGGGGGCGTGGCACATGCCCTTTTGTGCCCTCTCATCCTGTGTGTAAGCAGTGGGCCTGGGGGTCCTTCCCCTCATGGCCACACCCGTGACTCAGTGAAGAGGGGACAGGGTCTCAGGGACCAGGCTGGTGGCCCTCCCTCCACGGAGGAGCCTGGGTGCCTGACCCAGCAGACTCCCTTGCAGAGGGGCCTGTGGAACCCCAGACGTGGGCTTCTGTCAGTGTTGGGGTGCGTGGGTGCAGTCAGCATGTGCCACAGGCGTCAGGCTTGAGTTCCATCCGGTAGTGTCTTGTTCCAGTTCTGTGCCTTGCCCAGGTGAGACCAGGCTGGCCATGGCCGCAGGGGAGGGATGTCAGACAGACTCCAGGCTGGAGGCAGAGATGCCCCAACAACAAGCGGCAGCAATAAATAAATGAACGAAAGCACCTAGGAAAACAAGGTGACATTTTATGCATATTGGAGTTCAAAGTGCTCATAGGTTTCATTTTGTGAGTAAAACTTTGAAACAATGTGTCAACCTTTGAAAACAACTTGCACCAGGAATTGTTCATTTCACAGCCAGCCAGGTGGCTCCCACACTGCACCATCACTGTGCTGCAGCAGACACCCAATGTTGAGCCAGAAAAGCCCACCACTCTGGGTTGGAGGCTGTTGATGGCTAGAACCCAAGCCAAAGGGCAGAATTCACTGCATCCTCACCTCATGCACTCCCCTGGCCCTGTGTGTAAACAGGCCACAAAGCGCCACCCAGCGGTAAGACTGTAGCATCCAGTTGGGTGCGTGCTTGCGTGCAGTCATGTCTGACTCCTTGCAACCCAAGGGACCATATAGCCCACCAGGCTCTCTGTCCATGGGATTCTCCAGGCAAGAACATTGGAGTGGGTTGCCATGCAGTCCTCCAGAGGATCTTCCTCACCCAGGGATTGAACCCACGTCTCTTATGCCTCCTGCACTGGTAGATGGGTTACCACGAGTGCCACCCGGGAAGCCCCAGCATCCAGTTTCATTCTGTTCTGTTCAGTCACTCAGTCGTATCCAACTCTGCGATGGACAGGGAAGCCTGGAGTGCTGCAGTCCATGGGGTCGTAGAGTCAGACACGACTGAGCAATTCAACTGAAGCATCCAGTTGGGCAAGACTAAAATCCCCATGGCAAGTGAGATATGAAAGAAACCCAAGAAACAAGTGTCCGATCCTTTGCTGTTAAGAAAGGATCACCCTGCCATCCTAAGTCTCCAAGCTGCCCCAAAGCTGGGAGGAAAATGCAGGATACCAAAGCCGAGCAGTCAAAAAGAAAAATACAGCCAACACATCATCCATTTCTTTATTGTCCTTCAGATTCTAAAACTTCATGACACAACGTATAGCCATTGATTCCAGCGTCTTTATTTATTAGAACTTCTATGCCGGTTTGGTGGTCACTTTGTTTTTTAACATTCTTATCAAAGACTTAGAGTCACAATAAATACAAGTGACAACCTCCTCCCCCCAATCAAAACAAACCACCTCCCAAATACCCTACATTGGTGTGACTATTACTCTTCAAGGATTATAAAACTTTAGCTGTCCTTTAAAAAAAAAAAACTCAGTCCAACTTCTTTAGGCAAACGCCATGTGCAGCATAACTAGGCATCAAAGAAAAACCCTATGGCAGAGCAGCAAGGACCGTCTTTCCATTATTCAGGCCTGTGATGAGAATGTATGATTTATACAAAAACCCCCTCCCAGCCACAGGAGTGACTTGTGGGCCACTCAGGAGCCATGTGGGGGCGTCGCCTCTTTCATTCCCTCTGCACCAGAGACCTTTCGCTTCCAGACCAGAGCCGCCACCACACCCCTACCTCCCAGAGCAGTCACTCTTGACCTTGTCAAAGGTGTGGGTCTCAAGAGATACACCTGGGACACTGAAGACTAGGGTCCCCACAACAGTCGGGATGGCCAGAGCCATGGGCAGCTCTGAGTGGACGCAGTTACCTGTGTGGGCACCCACAGGCCTCCGCACACAGCCATTTCAGATAGGGAAGGGAGCCTGGTGAGGCCTGCACCCCAGTCCACATAATAGCCGACTTTCTGAATAGTTTCCAGGTGCCACTGGGGGTTCCTGTCACAGATTACTGGGAAGTTACAACTGTCATTTGGGACTGGGGGCTCCCAAGTTCTCTGGTTCTCCTGGGAACCAGATCCTCTCAGCCTGCAGAATCCCAAAACCATGGCCCATTTTGAAGGGTGGGCTTTGGGGCTGGGAGAATACCTTTAACATTAACATCCTTCCCATACTCGAAAGGTACTTAATGCTCTTTCTTAATAACATTATAAATTTCAGCACAGAACCATGCACTTGAGGCTTATAGGAGTGACAATGCAAAGGGGAAACTAAAGGAAAAAGGGGGGATAGAAGTTTTGAGACAGGGGAAATGAATCAAGATTAAGGCATCTCACCTTCTGGATCCCCCCCTTTTTTTCTTGATCCCTTTTTAAAAAGCTACATTTATGTCACAGTAAGTCCTACCCATGGGAATGTTCCTGCAAATGCTGGGCTGGAGGTCAGGGCCCAGCCACCGCGTCTGCCTGTGGCGGTCAGTCTGCACTCAGCTCACAAGGTCTAGTCAGTAGCCTGGAGAAGTCTGGCCAGAGGAGGTGAGGAGAGGTGGATCCTGAGCATGGTGGAGAATGATGGGGAGAGGATCCGGGGCCAATGTGAGTGGCTTGGTTTTGAGCCCCGGAGTCACAGACCCAGTCAACCCCCGTGGGGGAGCAGCAGCCCTGGGCGCCCCCAGTGCTGAGGTGACCCTGGCCAAGATGCCTGAGCTGCTGCATAGCACTGAGATCAGTCTGCCCGGTTCGGCCAGCTGGGCACTCCTTCTTGTAGGATTTGGGAATTTTGGCCCGTGTCATCGAACAGAGAGAGCTAACAGCTCAGAGTAGTATAAGACAGGTATTTATTTGCCAGGCACACAGAAAAATGCGAGGAATAGAAATGCTTGCATACTCTTGATTTTTTGGTGTAAAAACACACCCTTCCCCACTCCCCCCTCCCCCAAAGGTCAATTTCCCCTTTTCCCCAAATCCCTGGATCTTGGAATGAAAGCCATCCTTCTCCAGCCCTCCCCTCCTTCAGGCCACCTTCATTATGCACTCAAAACAAAAATCAGTGAGAAATTTAGGGCTTTAGACAACAAAAAATTCAAATGCTTTGCAAAACTAGGTCTATTGCATGTCAAAAATGTCTTCTAAACACTGATGTTCACACAGCATAAGGGGGGTTAAATGAGCCTTTATTAGAACGGCGCAGCAGTGTATCTGAGGAAGGTGGCCCTACAAAATAAGGATTTTAAATTAAGTCCCTAACTGCATGGACAGGAGAACCAGGGCTGGGGCTGAAGTGAGGAGCAGCGTACCCCATCTCCACACGTGTGTGCATGCACATGTGACACCCTCACACCTGCACAGAGCTGGCCCATGTGCAGCACACACACAACAGCTTCTACCTTTCCTCATGGACTGATTTTTAAG